GCTGAGAAAAGCCGCTCCGCGTCTCTCTGGTCTGCTGGGGGGGGGGAGGGCGCTCGCTCCGCGTCTCCCTGGTCTGCTGGGGGGGGGGGAAGCAGCTAGTAGGGGGTTGCCTCACCCTGTTCATAAGTAGGGATCCGACGTAAGTCGGATTGACGTATCCCGGGGACTGCCTGTACAGTTTTAATGACTAACCAGCCTGTCCTGAACCTTAAAAAAAATACAGATTGAAGCAAAATAAGCATCTTAGCTTGGAGTACAGGGGGTTGAAGAGTGTCATTTCTTGAACCAATGGGGCAGAGGTGGGTAATATTTTTCGCAGGGAGGCCACTTAATGAATTTTGGTATATCGTCACAGGCCAGCTCCAGAAAAGGCAGAGCCTGGTGCAGAAGGGGCAAGGCTGGGGACTAGCCTTCCCCTCAGAGTTGTCTGGGGCTGGAGGCTTTGAATTAAAAAAAAAAAAAAAACAGCAAAGGGCTCACAGCTTCCTGCCCCACCGCTACCACGTGCCTGGCAGACACCCAGGGTTACTGCGGTTATGTAAAGGCTCACGGTTCCAGGCTCTGCTGGAGTAGCGCCGCGACCATGAGTCAGGAACCATTTAAAGAGGATCCTGCTGCCCGAGCCACCACCTGGAAATTTGGTGGCACGAGCAGCAGGGTATAAATAGAAAGCAGCCAGATGCAGTCAGCAAGCCAGATCGAAGTGTTAGGTGGGCCGGATCTGGTCCCCAGGCCGCATCTTGCCCAGCCCTACAATAGAGTGATAGGGAGAGGAAATAAATAGAGCTGTGAAGGGAGACCGGAGGACTAAGAAAGAATGCCAAGATTAGAAAGAAGATGTACTGATTAAGGACAAAGAGTGTGGAGTCTTATTAAGAAAACATATGATAGATTTAAGAAACATTAGTACAGTTTGGTGCTTTCTTAAGCCTGACAAATTTACTACTAGTTTGCATTTAAGCAGCACTATGAAGTAGTTTCTAAGGGCCTAGTCTGTTTAGATAATTGTCATGGCTACAGGGAAACTACACTTTAGATCCCTTTAGTCCATCTTAGATGTACCTCTTAAGATAGTGGCTCTCAACCTTTCCAGATTACTGTGCTCCTTTCAGAAGTCTGATTTTTCTTGCATACTCCAAGTTTTAGCTCACTTAAAATTACTTGCTTACAAAATCAGACATAAAAATACAAGTACCATAGCACACTGTTACTGAAAAATTGTTTACTTTTCCATACTTTCATAGAATTATAAAATCAAGTGGACTATAAATATTGTACTTACATTTCAGTTTATAGTATATAGAGCAGTATAAAGAAGTAATTGTATGAAATGTTAATTTGTACTGACTTTGCTAGGGATTTTTAAAGTAGCCTGTTGTATAATTAGGCAAATAGCTACGTGAGTTGATGTATGCCTGGAAGACCTCTGTGTATCCTCAGGGTATACCCTTGTTGAGAACCACTGCCTCTGGCTTCCTACACCTCACTTTGGTAGAACCTTGAAGTCTAATCACTCAGGTTGAATCTCTCAGCTGATTCCCCAATGTTAAGGACACAACTCGCTCATTCTTCTTAATAATGATGTTCAGTGCCAACAGTCAAGAAGGACTCACTCTCCATGATATAGTCTGTCGGTATTATGAACTTCATAGATGCATTACAGAGTCAATGGTAGAGGAATCTTTTAGAAATGTGTGTCTGTCTGTGTCCATATGCAGCTTCCTCTTATCAAAACTTAAAGCAAGGTAAGGGTTTGGTTGTGCCAGGATAATGAAATGTGTCTGGAATTCAATTATTTCTTATAAAATGGAAAGTAAGGCAAGTAGGAGGGAGAGTTATACTGTAGAATGACCACAGGGAGGCAGCAATGGGTCAGAGATGGAGGCTAGAACAACTATAAACTCATTGGGCCTAAGGGGACAGGGGAAAGGGACAACCATCTACTATATATTTCAGATAGTTTGACTGTGTGTCTGTATGTCCCTCAGCTGGGTGACATGCACCTCTCCTCCACCTTTGCCCGCTGCCATTGAGAGGTGCTTCTCACCTGGCCACAACCTGCTGTGGTGAGTCAGGGCTGGGGTTGTCTTCTCTCTCTGAGGCAACCTGCATACTGAACCTCTCACTGTCCCATCCCAGAACAATGGTTTAAATGAAGAAAAGTAAAAGTCCTATTTGAGTTAAAAGACCTGAACAACGCTATGTAAATCTTCTAATACGTCATAAGCGAAACACCATGGTGAACTTTGGTACAAAAATGTACTGTGTAGTCAATACTTACAACTTATTTTTCTGCTTCATAAGATTTATTTCAGTGTGAGAGGAGGACATGGAGCAGAGTGGAGGAATAAATGGAGTTTTACTAAAGCAAAGGTATTGTCCAACCTTTTCTGATGTCCCAAATGTATTAAATACATTTCAGAGTAGACATAATCCATGTCTAATGCTAAACAGCTCTGGCATTTAATTACAAGCTTCAAGGAGAGATTGAATTTGTCATGAGCCACTTACTACAGACACATCAAAATCTGAAATTAAATTTACTTGAAGCCCTCAGTACATGACAATTAAGAAGTGAAAATTAAATCCCTACTTGCTGATTTGTATACCTACCATCAACTTAGAAACCGGCTCCCTTGAAACAATGTAAAGTGCAGACTTTCTTGCCTAAATAACTCGGTGATAGTTAATTATTTTTTGTTTCAACTCTGTCATCATTGGCTCTTAAATGTAAAGTTATGCAAATAATCTGAGCAATTGTGATCCCAAGGGACAAATAAATGCGTTCTTATGATTTTTAGTTCTCCACTTTTCAAAGCCTTTAGGTGAAACAATATTATAAGGCCTCTCTCACATGAGCATGAAAAAGATGTGCTTGGTCTTGGATATCTAGCACTAATAAAGATTAATTTATCTGTGCAAGATTCCAAAGGGATTCACAGTTCAATTCTGTGCTTAATTTATTGCTCATATACATGAAAACACTATGAAATGTTGGTTTTCTTGATATGAAAGGAAAGATATTGGTGGCCTAATATTCATCTAAACTTGCATCATCACACAGAAGACTAAGAAGACTATCCTGGAAACCGATTATACCACAATTGATTGATGGAATTGGCTCTCTCAATATCTATCAGCTCCTATGAATTCTGCTGATCTCTTCTGTGGAAGCCAAGGGATTTTTATGTAGCCATTTTGACCTTTTGGTTAGCCTAACTCATGCTAACTCTGAGACCTGACAACACAGAGTATTGTGGAGACGCTGTTTTTGCCTCTTGTCTCTCTTGTGCTTGAAATAAGGGTAGAATGCTGACTCTAGTGAAGACCTTGAGATAAGGTGGCATCTGAAGGGAACTGTTTATTGATATTATATATAAACAGACAGTATATATATATTGGCTTCTAATTGTTTTGTATTTGATGATCTGCCTAGCAGCAGCTTCTTCCCTTGCAATATTGATCGAATAAATTGTCTCTGACTACTTGTTGCTTACAAACGCAGAGTGAAGGCCTGTTTTCTTCCACACTTCCCTCTTTGAATTTCATAGATCTCAGTGGACCATGGATGGCATACTGTAAAAGGGACATGCATATGTACTCACCTGGTCATGGTCAATATCTGCATCTCCAGTGATGACAATGCGCTTCTCAATCCTTGTTTCTGATACTCCACCTTTTACTGTCTACAGATGGCAAAAAACAAAGACATTCATCTTTAAAATGATTCCATATAATTAAAGAGGGAGGATCACAAAACACATCTATTACTCTCCAGTGCACTGTGGGAATGGAGAATTGGTGTGAAAGAACAGCAGTTAGTTACAGATTCTTGGTGCTACATCCTGTTTATGGCTAACTGTATAGCAGTGGTGTCCAAGAGGAAGTTGCCCTAAAAGATGAACCCACAGAGAAGACCCTAAGATATATCAGAGATCACATTCAGTTAGATATGGAAATGGGGTTGATAGATCAGGGTTCTAAGTCTTCTTTGTCACTTTTCCACACAATCCCACCACTATTGGTGCATGGTTCTTTTGCAGTTCTGACTTTTGTGCATCTTTCTGCCTCATCAATTAACCATATAATTTCAAATGTCCGATGATTGCTTCATTTTTGTCTCCACAAATAGTTTGTATGGAAGATACTACAGATGATAAAACTGTATTGTAATTTTTATCATTATTTAGCTAGAGATTAGATTAATTTATTCCTGTGAGAATATTATAAACTGATTGATTGTTTTTTTATGACTGTTACGAAAGGATTTCCATACAGCAATCAAGAATAATATTGAGATTGGAGGTACAAAATTTTAATATACTTTATTTTGCATTAATCAAGATAAATGAGGTATAAGATATCCTAGATACTGTGAGTCCTTTAAGGATTCCAGAGGAAGATTTAAATCCTCTTGGCAGTTTCTGTATTTCAAATAGATGAATGAAAAATTCTGGATAGAAAAATCTGAGCCAGAAGGTGATCAGACTATTTGGAACTAGGGCCACAAATATAGTGGTTGTACTTATATAGAGGCTGTTAATAATGGTGATATAGCAAATTTCCTATCAGATATCTATTCCATACATCTCTTTGACCACCTGATGACAAAGTATCATCTAATTTAATTTTCAAAATATGGCTTCTTTCAGTGAGATAATGTTCTCCAACAAGTTTTCTGGCTCCATGTGTACATCTGATAAGAGAATGAATTCTCCTGTTGGACCAGATGTGGCATTTTATTATACAAAGTCTTTTTCAAGCCTCTGATGGTGCTGAAGAATTCTAACAGCAGCAGGAGCTGTTCGCCAATGAGAAGCTTTCTAATGAAACACTTAAATACAGAGTTCGGCGTTTACTTTTGGTGACTTTCACAGGACAATTTCCAAATGCCCTTTGCTCCTGACTTGCACTTGGATTACGTTTATTCTCTTTAGGTTATTCCATTAGGAACTTAATTCTGTGAGTACTAATTACTATTCAATATAATCAAGATTCTTGTCTTCAAATAGAATGTTTCATCATAAACTGGAGTCCTTCCTGAGTTTTCCCTTCTAGAACTGCATTATATGGTTGTCAGAATTCAGTAACGCTTTTAAAACAAATACATTTTTCCTGAACAGTGAATAGAAATAAACACACTTGTCAACTGGAAGGAGGAGACAAAGTGACACATAGGACAGAAATGGAAAAAGATCCAACTTCGTGCTATGAGCTTCTTGACTGTCTCTGAATGCTAAAGTAATCCAAGGCCCCCAGTAACAGAATGTACTCAGAAACTTATCCCAAATTGATCAATGCAGTCCCAAGACAGAATGAGTAAAGAGGAACGAAGCCAGAAGACAAGTTGTTTCAGCATATCTATCCCTGGAGCTAACTCCATTTCTGGGGAATCAAAACTCATTCACATTAATTACCCCTTCCCCTGGCAGAATCCCCATCAAAGATCATCAAGAAGTGAGATGAACAGAGACAGAAAAGGCTGGGTGCCAAGGAACATGCCAAAAATCCAAAAATGCCAGAAAAAAAAAAGCAGCAGCACATACTGCAAACTGTGATATCTCTTCCCCAGCTCTTCCTCCTGATTTCATCTGTGATGCTGCATTAAGATTTGGTTTAGGGAAGTCAATTTAAGCACAGAACTGGGCATGGCATGGACTATTTTAAATATTTATTCAATGTTCTGTGAGGAGCAATGTTTTGAAAGAACCAATGTACCTCTTGACAAGGGTCATTTTTTAACCCTCAGAGAAGTTGTCAGTTTTACCTTAGTGATGTGTGTGGTTGTAGTTGTAGAAACTGATTCAGACGTGATAGTCTGCGCACTCAACAGCACACCAGCATCACCACCTGCGCTGCCATCGAACTGAAGACAGTTGGGAGAAGAAAAATAAGTTTCATTTTCATGCCCAGGGATTAAAAACTTGTGTGTTAACAGATGATAGTTAATGCAACCTTCACTACTAATACCTACATAATTCTGCTTTAGCTCAAATATGTCTATGTTCTGTTACCTATGTGCTTGCATGGATTTGTTGGCAAACAGAATGACCACATGAAGACAAACACATTAGATACATGAAACACTACTCTAGCATAAAAGCTACTTGGTTTGCTGAATTGCATCAAACATTTTAACATGATGTCCACATTCCTTGTGGACAAAATTATAATCAAAGTTATTCCTCCCTTTTGCAAGCTCAGAGGTGAGTTAAGTCAGATCTTTAAATGCATACATTTTAGACAACCAGATCAACTTTCAACGTTAGAATGATACTTGCTATTTTAGCCACTTAGAGTCATTTTTAAATTGTTTCACATCAACAAAATAATAAATGCCACTATAGGGAAGTTTTGATTTGTAAAAAACCATTACCATATTATCATATCTCCTGAATTTGGAGTTGATTATAAAGGCCAACCTGTAAACAGCATTATAAGTAATATTTCAAATCACATCTTTCCTTTACCTGTGGAGATTCATATGTGATGGTTTTAGTCTCCGTTTGAACAATGGGGACTTCTTTGGTGGAGATTTCTGTTCTCTGTGTGGCATCTGAAATGGTCACCATTTCTGTTTTTACTACTGGAGGCTGTAGTAGAAGACACAGGATACAATCAATCCAAGGACATATGACAAAAATTTGCATAGTGGGCTAAGGTGGAATAGAACAAAAATAGAAGATTGTAGTGACAGAATAAATATTAAGAATGCCTCCCACACAAACCACTGCGAGAAAAATAAATACAAAGATAAAACAAATATCATACTAGCCCTTTAATAAGTGATTATCACTTCAACAATACTTCAGATGTGTTTAAAATGTGTGAAGAACTATTAGTGGGAGAATCTTAGTTCAGCTACAGTTTCTTCCATCAAATAAAAGTTGCCAGGGTTACATAAAATAAGCCTTGCATTTAAAATGGAGAATGAAGTTACTACAATATTTGGCACATATCCCTAACAGTGGATAAAAACTTGCAATATTTTCTCAGCAATTCTAAAATTTAATTTAATTTATTTTTTTAATGTAAACAACTTCTGGAATAGAGAAAACTACTGTCTATAGATTTTAATAGCTTAGCTTCATGTCTAGGCTAGAGTACCAACTGTTTTCCTCTGAAAACAAAACTGTTAAAAGCCATTTTAATTCTTGTTGTAGTGGATATTTTGTCAGTGTTGTTCTCTGCTTGGAAATCAAAGAGCAACAACAAACTAGAACTTGCAAGTCAGTAGAAACTATGACGTGTCTGTTGGACCAGATTTTTAAAGGAATACAAGGTGCCGAAAGGGGCAGATCTAGTGAGATTTACAAAGGAACCTAAATACCTAACTCTCATTCATTTCATTTAAACAAATGGGAGTTAGATGCCTAGGTGCTTCTGGAAATCTCATTAAATATCTTTCCCACTAAATATTTTGTTTATATTCTTAGAAAGGGAGCGTAGAGACCAATATAATCATGGAGAAGCCAATTTACTCTCATTGTGAGTTGCAAGAGCTCTTTACTTAGATGAGAGGTATGGGGCCTCTTTAGAACAATTTCTGAACTGGTCTTCAACTGGGACTCAATACAATGAGGAAAACCTGCCATACATGATTGAAGGGTGACACCAAGAAAAGAATTCCCCAGTGGCAAAGTTTCACAGAGGTACAAGATCATTTACACTCCGTTTTATTCTTCTTCCTTCAAAAATCCATCTAATTATTAATCACATTAAACCTGTTTCTATACTAAAACAGATGGACATGATTCCTTGTGGAGCCAATTCAAGCTTCTATAGTTATCTAGTAATAGAGGAAGCTGCTATACAGCTATGATAGGTGTATTATCCCTTTACTGCTTAACCTGCCCTAACTGTAGGTGCTCTTACTACTCTTAGCAAATTGTATCAATAGCAGTTCCAGGAAGTGTTTTCATTGAAAAAAAAATTAGAGGAAGAAAAGTCTGAATAGTAAGAAAAAACTGAAAATGCTGTGACAAATTGCTTTTAGCAAATGTAACATACATAACTTTCCAGCTACACTTATAAGTAAAGGGTGTGTGTCATAAGCAACCAACAAAACAGACAAGACAAGACTTGAAAACATTAAAAACATTCAACAAAAAGTAAAAATAAATTGTAACAAGGAAAAAAAGGAGATGGTACAGTCATAGGAAGGTTTGCTTTACTAGGAAATTCCTATTCATTCCAGCAAAAAAACCCAGAAACCATGACTGGAGTAGGCAGTTTCACTGCATATCAGTGGTTTCCCCCTTCCATAATATTTGAATCTTGGTGAATACTGAAGAGCTGGGATAACAGGAGAAGAAGAAAGGTGGGTATATTTCCACCCCATAACATAACATATCTATATACTCTAGTTCTCAAGCTGTGCTACCATTTACCTCAGAACAACAAATTATTTCTGGCACAACATCAATATCAACATGAGACACATCTCCGTTTATTCTGAGCTGTTCATCTTCTGCTCTCAGGTCTTGTTTCTCCTCTTCCATTACATTCTTCTCTCCAACTTTTATGGCAACTGCATTTTCCTGGGCCAAAGCTTTTGCTGTAATTTGGTTGTGCTCTACTGTTACTTTTATTTTACTGCCTTCTTGAACAGTTTCCTCACTTTGTATTGTTTTTGTTGCACGCTCCTCCTTTCCTTTGGCATCTTCGTTTTCTTCTTGTTCTTCCCTTATAGTGTCCTTAGCCACCCTGTAGTGTGGCTGATACTCTCCCACCACTTCATCCTCACTCTCACTACTGCTGCTGCTATCAGATGACAATGAAGAAGAGTCTTTTTTTGACAGATGTTCCACCTTACGGGTCTCCCCAGCATCAGTGACAGCTTGCATTTTCCCTCTGTTGAGTTCCTCTATGACTACTGTCTCTTCTATCCCAACCTCAGCCTGCTTCTTCTCCTCCACTACGTTCAGAGTCTCATGTGAACTCTGCACAAAAAACACGGATGAGGAAAAACAAAAGTACAGCATATGAATAAATCAAAATGATGAAAACAAGATGAACTGATGGCTGGTTCATTTCATGTAGAAAACAAAGGGGACTGTGATGGTTAACTGAAAAAAGGAAAGAAAGAAGGAAGGTGGATGAGAAATGTGAAACCAGAGTTAACTACGGAAAAATCAGTAGAACCTTATCAGCATTGCTGGGTCCAGCGCAAAGCCCTTCTGCTCTGGAAGCAAGTTTCTGTGAAACAAAAAGCAACCAGAGGACACAAATCAATAAGCCTTTTCAATACCAGATGAAACAAACATTTAACACATCATAGACAAAACAATGAAAGAATGTCTGCATAAGACCTATTGAAGACAGTACTGTCTGCATAAAAAGGGTATGCGTTTTAAAAACTCTGTGGGCATTACTATGTTTGATACAAGATCTATGAAGAATTTACAATTGTTTATTTTCTACAAGCAATTCTTTGATCTAATTTATAAAATATCTATTTAACATTTTGGATACCATCAACTGGGATCATGTAAGATCTTTGCCAAAAGATCCAGAACAGAAGCATAAATAACAGACAACGCTACTTCCTAGAAGGATAATTAATTATTTATTAAAAACAGCTAAAATCAGTTATTAAACAGCAAACAATTTACTGTGTATATGAAAAGGGGAAAAAGTCTTTAGACACTATTCTAATGTCAGTTTATTCTCTCTCACTCACACACACAACTTGTATTTTTAAATGTTTTGATGCCTGTATTTTATTTAATCTGTTGCTTTAAGAAATTTAGTAGATCCTTTCAATCATTTTGCACAATTTAATAGAATACCACAATGAGAACTTTTAGAATATATTGATGTGAGAATGTCAAAGGAACCATGGTTCAAGATTGCCAAGAAGATCCTATAAAAACCCCATTTGGATAGTTCAAAACGTGAGATTAAAGAAATTCTATTAGTGTTTGTACCGTAATAAAACAATTTGTGATAGTATGTATGTATGGTCATACTATGTCAAAGGAATTTTATCAGATTTAAAGAACCATAAATATTAAACAAATATATTAAAGCAATGTTCAGGATCAAATGCACAAAAGCAAAAATATCATTAAAACCAGCACACCATCTGTGACTTAATCAGTTTTGTTTACCAACTGCAGTATGTATAGGGTATGATTGTGCATTCCTGGAGAATCAAAAATGAGAGTCAAGAGATATTTTGTGAAAGCTAAGAGCAGAGGATCAAGCCTTCAATTTACTGTGTGACACTCCCTCAACCTAAACTAAGTTAATATTTGCTGAACGGTTTTGAAACACTGGGATTGAAAAAAAAAATTACCTTCATGTGGATTTTTGTTTTTGTGGATCTATATCTGAATGTTAACATTAAATTTCAACTAGTTTATATCTGTGATTAATCTATTTCTCCTCTATATTTATTATTTGTTATATAAAATATAATACATGAATGTAATTTCTTAGGGATAAACAGCATCATATAGGGCATCTTGTTTAATTACTAGATGATGAAAATATATGCAAAATTTATCTGAGATGTTAGTGAATACCCATTTCTGTAGGAATGACATTATAGGGTGAGGAAAAAAGCAAATAAGCACCTCGGGCAGTTGTAAGAAGGGTGAGGCAGAAAGCATTTCAGAAGGTACATTATCTTTCACAACAGTGCCCTCTGCTGTCCTTGCGGAGGATGAAGTGAAGGTAGATTTCATGCTAGTAGAAAAGCCCTCTTTACTAAATAAAATTGATGTTATTTCCTCTTCTAGGCTCTAGACAAGTTATAAAATGCAAAGCAAAGAATTAAAATAGTAGAAGACACAACAATGACCTACAAAAGAAAGAAAGGAGAGATTAGGCAAGAAAGAAAACAAATAGTACATAGAAACGGATTCACTTCTGAAATAATTCTACAAGATCTAAGGAAAAAACTAAATATGCCCCTTAAAAGGAAATATGTGACAGTATGGCAAGCTTTAATGACAACAACCTGATGTGTAACAAAGAAATGACAAAATTTAGCTATGCTAAAATATGATATATCCCCACTCCAATTACTGTCTTGCATATTTCAGATTGTGTGTGTGTATTTTTATATGTACTTATATACACACACAAATATGTGTGTGCCCGCGCACGCATGCATAAAAAGGAAGGATTAACAAAACCTTCCCCAACTGTCAGATGACACTACAGTTTTCTTTTAGAAAATTTCTTTCAATATTACAAATATATCTTTTAATTCATTCTGAATACCTTCCCTGTATCCTCTTGTGCATATAACCTTGAACAGAGGGGTAGGCAAAAGTATAGATTTCCACTTTTGATGGTGTGCACCACAGCTTTAAATTGAATATACAGTAAATAGATTTTATTCAGCTTAACTTCAAAAGCCTGTTTTTAAAAAAGAAATCCCTTATCAGCAATCAAATGTGTCTTTAACCAAGAATTCAGCATTACTAAATTTAGAGCCATTCCCATCTATTGGGCAAACACATATTTATCCAAATACTTTATTTAAAGCATTAAGGATATTTATTAAATGGCTATAGTTCTTGCTACATAGTACTATGAGTCTCTACTTAGATACATACAAAGCAAACAATATATTTGAAAAAAATACTACAATATATGCACGGCTTTTAAAGCTGAATTTTTCATTTGTTTCAGTTTTCCCCCCAAATATAAGATGTTATATCCTTCAAAAAGCTACATTTTAAAAATGGGAGTTTGTACTTTATAAGTTTTATAATATAAAAACAACAAAATAAATATTTTTATCCTGGTGTAACTTAGAAGTAGAGATGTTAAATTTTGATTAATCTTGAGTAGTTAATGGAATTTCCATCAACTACTCCATTAGTCAATAAGGGTATGTCTAAACTACATCCCTCTATCGAAAGAGGGATGTAAATGAGTCAAATCGAAAGTGCAAATGAAGTGGAGATTTAAATATCCCATGCTTCATTTGCATAATTGCCTCATTTTGAAAAGAGTTTTTTTTTCCTGAAAGAACCACATCTAGACGTCGGTTTCTCTTTCGAAATACCCTTTTTCGAAAGACCGCTGTGATGCGTTTATGCAAATGAAGCATGGGATATTTAAATCCCCGCTTCATTTGCACTTTCTGTTTGCCTAATTTACATCTCTCTTTCGGCAGAGAGATGTAATTTAGACATACCCTAAGAGGGGTGCTCTCTATTCCATTGTACCTCTTCCTTTGAAATGTACAAGAGCTGCGGGCGGCTCTTGTACATTTCAAAGAGAGAGGCACAGCAGTAGAGACAGTGCTACCCTGCTCTCCACGGAGACGGTGCTGGGAGAACCGGCTTTTAAGCTGTCTCTCATCTGGAACTGGCACCTGCTCTACCCCCACCCTCCCACTTTCTGCCTCTCTCTGACAGAGGCAGAAAGGGCGGGATAAGTGACTAGTCAAGTGACCACTCGACTTTCTAATAAGATTATGTTTAGTGGGTAGTCAACTATTCGCTTACATCCCTACTGGGAAACAGAACAAATTTGGAATTTATTGACCACAGCAAAATTATTTCTAGCTTAGGACCTCATATGCCTTAACCTAAAGTACACTTTAGGATGAAGATGTACATTAAAGAAATATTTTTAGAATGAAATGTGGACACAAAGAACTTGTGTTATAGACTCAAAACACTATACAGTAAACTGTGTTGCTGCACATACTACACGTATGACATGAGGAAAAAAGGAAAAGAGGGAGAAAAGAGACTCCTATATATCTCCTATAATAAAATCTCAGCATACTTTCAAGGAATTCAAGGTAAATTTGGATAAAAGTTGATTAATTTTACCCTAATATTGTGTTTGATATTTATAGGGGGGAAGTTACGATTTCTTTTTTGGCTAGTTTAGACAAAAGTTCAGCTACACAACCAACGACCTTGAGAATTGTTTACTTCTATATTTGTGCAGGCAAGTGGGCTCATGATCTTTGGGTTAATCCCACAACTACAGCAGGGCTGACAGCCACTGAGAACCAAAATGTGTGTGTGGGGCCCAGCTCCGGGCCTCCCAGAAGGAGCAAGACCTCAGGTGGAAGAGGCAGGACCAAGAGTAGTCAGCCCTTAGTGTCGCCTAGACTGCGGAGTGCCCCTATACCCTCAGAGCCGTGAAGAGCAGCGCTCTAGAAGCAGTTCAAAGGGGCTTAGGCCTTCAGCTGCCACAGTAGCAGCACTGGTGGCCAGGAGCTCTGAGACCCTTTGAATCTCTGGGCCTTGGGGCAACTGCCTCTATTGCCTTTCAGTGGTGGGCCTGGTCAACCATATTCTTACCGCACACTTATTTTAGCAAATCAGAGTTGACAAACATACAGTATTAAAGCCAGTGTGTATGTACACATAAATAGACACCATTTGTTTGCAGTTTACTATAGATTGAGCCTCTAGTCTTCCACCCTTGGGACCTGACTGGTGTTGAACCAGAGAACGTGCTGGACCACAGGAGGTCAATATTGTCTAGCAGCTTTACCAACACTTCCACTAGTTTACTGGGCTCTTAGAAGACATTGGGGGTAAATCAGAGCTAAATAACAGCACAGAAAACGGAGAGCCAGGACTGATGTCTCTAAACAAACTTTATGGGACCACAGGAAACTTGACCACACTCATGACAAGTGAACATCTGGCTAACTAAATTCATGCCAAATCACAGATGTTGCTGGACCTCAGAATGGGCTAGAGAGGGTCAAACTATACCACCAACTTTATAGCCCTTTTAGATAGCTTTGTGATTGAATGTGTAATCTTCACACAAAGCTGTGCATAGGCTAATCCACCCGAGCAACCTTGAATCCAGCTAACAAGAATAGTGAAAAACTTAAACAACAAATGGTCTGGTAGCACTTTATAGACTAACAAAACATGTAAATGGTATCATGAGCTTTTGTGGGCACAGCCCACTTCTTCAGATAACTGGAGCTTTACAAAATAATAGTGAAGATAGTATAGTGCATGCTTCAGTGCACGTTAGGGAACAAAATATGTATCCAAGGGCTTTATCAAGCTTGTACTAGCTACATACAAACCACACTATGTATCCTGATATTACTACCCATGCTCACTATATTAAGCAAGTTTCAGTAAACTAGCCCATGCACAGCTTTTGCTGTGTAGCCATAACTGATGAAAGCAAGCAGATTGGCATTAGGGTTGGAAGTGCTCTTTTCTGCAGTGTGACCAGTTAGTTCAGCCGTGGCCAACCCGCGGCTCGCAAGCCACACGAGGCTCTTGCCCCCCAAAAGTGCAGCTCACGAAGCCGCTCCTGCACCCCCTCAACAGCCCCTGTACCCCACTGGCTCCCCCCCCAGATGCTTACGAGGTCGGTGCTACGGGGTTTTAAAAATGGTGCCCAAGATGGCGGCCGTCTTAAAGAAGCAGCCTCCTTTTTGTTTTTGCTTGACAATTCTGTTCGGGGGGGGGGGGGTTCTTGACAATTCTGGTGTGGCTCTTTGCATTTCTTCCACTGCTGTTTTGGCTTGCTTTGTTAAATGGGTTGGCAACCCCTGAGTTAGTTGGTGAGAAAGTTGGCAGACTTTTACTATTGTCAGTGTATACCTAAAATTGGAAGGCTTTACCAAAATACAAAAACGGTACAATAGTAATCCTCTATATATGCTCTCTGTTAGCATCAAATAATCCTTTGAGCTAAGTGTACAAAACAAACTAATCTGAATCAATGTTTAAAAGCTTTACTGGGTTTTTATTTATTAAGTTTGAAAAAAAGAATGGCTATGATGATACTGGACGTTCAAGGCAAAAAATAGTTATAACTATAGTTTTCTTTCATAAGAATATTAAGTCACAGATGCTGTAAAATGAAAAGAATGGTGGCACAAAAAGCATTAACCAAATGTAACATATTTCTCTCAGACAGAGAATACCAGTAATTGGTGTGTATTTTCAGTGGTACTTCTCCTCCACTGGTCCAATGAGGAAGGAAAAGTAGTGCTCTCCTTAGATTTACAAGTATATACCCACAGGCTTAATGCAGTCTTGAAAAATTTCTATGGAAGTTCATCAACCCTGGAACAAGATTAAATAATCCACTGACCCACCTAATACTATAAGGACGATAACATGGAAGTAAGTAGGCTGTAGTAGAAAAGAGTATTTGATTCCTCCAAAAAATAGGCAGTATTGTTTCATTATTTTAAGGCCCAAAGCAGATGTCATTATTAATAGAAGGTTGGAAAGTTCCCTATGGTTGATATAATTTACAACACAGACAAATATTTTATACATTATATATTACTGAAATAAGGCTTACAACATTTATTTATAATCTGATTCCAAGTTTCTAGCTGGAAACAAATCAAAGGTAAATCTGATCAGTAGCATGACACTTCATAATGAATAATAATAAGTAGTAGTAGTAATACTTAGCTCTTATACATCATTTTTCATCAATAGATTTCAATGTGTTTAACAAGAGAACAATCATTTTTCTCATTTAGAGAAAGGGTAAAATGCAGAGAGATCTAGGGCAATTTCAGAATGAACCTATTTCCCTGGCATTATTGATCTGCAGAATGGCTGCTGTAATCACATAACTGTGATGTATTCTCTGTAGAGTGTTGAACAATTACAGAAAGTGCATTTTGCTACTGAAATGCATGTTTCTCTGTCATCCTAAACAAATAAAGTTAACATGATTTCAATGACAGAATGTAATATATTACGTTTCTTGTTGTGTTTTAAAAATATTAGTTATTTAGAACTTTAAAGCCAGTTTGATAACAGAGATCAACGCCTTGGTTTAACTAGCACTGATCTTATATGGATATATTAAACACCTCAAAGTTGTTTTTTTATTGGTTTAAACTATTTTTTTAAAGTGCTCTGGCTAATTCAGATCACAACAAAATAAATAATAAATAATAATAATAATAATAATAATTAAAAAAGCTGAAGGTTTGAAGGTAGCCACCTTATAAGTTTCTTCTGTTTTTGCCTTAGTAATCCACATCACAGCAGTCCATTGATTCTCCTTCACAGGTAGCTTTTTCCTTTGGAAAATGTGGTCTCCTATTTTCTATTAAGTTTTTTGGAAATTTTTGGTTTTTATTAAACCAACATAAATCAACAAATGATGAGACAGACACACACAATTATACAAAACATTGACACAAACTGGCTTGAGAGCAGCACACACATACCAGGTAACAGGAGTATGCAGATAGAGGGATATGTAACACCTAGCTTTACCTTCACTTGACACAAAAACACATACACAAAATAAAATGAGCCATACTGATATAATATATGTAGTCTCTTTTGCGGTAGAGCAAGCAGATTAATCAGCAAAATACTGACAACAAATCAATCCAAATTTCTGGAGTATCACAAAGGAGGCTATACATTTTCTTTACAAGTATACTGTAGTGTTTGCAGAGTCTGAATAATCATATCTTAGCACTGACCATGTAGGCTAACAACTTAAAAAACTGAAAACAACTAGTAGTATTGTGACACTTCAGAGACTAACAAAAAATTTTATAGCATCATGAGCTTTCGTGAGTAAGACCCATCAGACTCTTAACTTCTTTTTAAGGTAAGAAGTCTGTTAATGATTTGTTGGAGATTTTTTTCCCCATGTTAGCCACCAAGGACCCAATTCAGTAAGATATTTAAAGATAGGAGTAATCCACTGATTTTACAAGGACTTTTCATGTGCTTAAAATTTAATATGCTTAATACCTTGCTGAGTCGGGGCCTTAATATGGAAGAAATCTTTTGACAGTGTTTAACAGTTTTTGTAGCCTGCAGGAATTTTAAAAGTTCCCCATTTTTGTAGTCTCAAAACCCATTAAACTTCCTAGAGTGATAATAGCACACTCACTTATCAGAGGAAAAATTAGGTCAGGTCTATAGACAGATTGATAAATGCTAAAGCAGAATATATTTGTGAGCAGTAATTTATTCTTTATAAACCCCAAATTATTTTATGTTTTGTAAAACCAGTTACAAAGCTTTTTGAAATGTGACAATTTGTGTGTCTAGTTCTTTGGCCAAAAACATTTCTTGGAAACAATGCATTCTAAACTGTTAGCTCAAGATACTGTCTATTAAGAGCTATGAAATACTGAAAATCATCAATCTTTTTACAGTCTTTTAAAAAGTAGCCATCGGTCTTTGAGTGGTCTTAAAGGGAACACAACTTGAGAATTATGCCATCCTACAGCCTGAAAAACACTTGACATTATCAAACATGTATGTTCCTACTGAACTAAGTTTAAACATGAGTTTGAGAGCTTTTTATCTGTAACTATCTAAGCAGAGTAAAGGACAAAAACCTCTTTCACAATTTCACAGCCACTGTAAAACCAATTTGTAAGAACAACAGTCCTAAACCAGAAGGCGGCCCAATCCTTGTAACTGTCTTGTTTCAACTGCTTTATTTTGACTTATGCTCACATACTGAAGCTTAAACAAGGTATTTAAAGTCTGGACTAAAAGTAAGTATGTTAATGGGTATTTAGTATAAAGAAAAATATTACATTCACACAAAAGAAAATGTTAATATAGGAGGGCAATTTTACATACATTATATTCTCTAAACAGTTGTATGGAAATGCATGCTGAGAAGTGTCTGCAATGACATACCCCTTGTGTCTGTAGAGACAGAGGTGTGATACGCCGCTTTTCCCATTCATTGGGGCGTGGCTCAGGTGTGGATTCCATGAAATTGCGCTTGAGTTCACTAATGCTAGCCTGATGTTTCAGTAAGTCGTCCTGGGTCTTATCAAGGTCCTAGCAATGTGCAATGTAAAAAAACAGTAGGACAAAACACAACAGCAAGAGCAAACTTATGTTCAAAAAAGCCAAAGCAAGAAAAGTACCCTGTGTCTCAAGAGCCATTTTACTAGGGCACATTAAAAAAAGGATTAAGACCATAAACGATTCAGATTTTAATTTCCTTTTAGGAACAAGGGGCACCCTATAGCATTTCTATTACAACTTTTTGTACAGGAAAAAATAACACCGTTAATGATCAGTAAACAAAGGACTATTTTTATCTCATTAGGAAGATACTAAGTTTTTGAAATAATTATTTCAAAAGGTTGTTAGCTTTGATAATGGAAGTATGTAGCACTAAAACAAGAATGGCCAGATATGTAAATATGTTTCTCAAAATACTTATGGATACTGTATTGAGTCCAAATCACGAATACAGCTATGCATATGCTTCAACTTTACATACACGAATAGTCCCATTAACATCAAGGGGATACTTATTGCTTCTAAAGATAAGCAGGAGCATAATTATGTACAGGCTCAGGGTTTAGGGTTGCTATTTACCTTTTTTCTGTTGAAAGCTGGGATAGCAAGTGGAACAACCATGTAGAAACAGTTTTGCATGTCTACATACCAAAAAGAGTTTCTGAGCTAGCCCCATTCTAACTAGTACAGGAGGTGACAATGGGGGGGAAGTTACAGATTCCATGTTTACAAGGATCCATCAACCCCCTGCATTGTGTGACTTGGATCAAAGAGCTATAAATTGCTGCTCCAGACTACAGTGTGAAGAAACAGGCCTGGAGATTGAGATTAGGCAGCAACCTCCTCATTAGGTCTGGTTTGGGAAGAGACTTCATTTCCCCAACAGGTCTAAGACATCACTGTCATATAACTTAAAAACTTGGGCTTTATGCGGGAGCAGCAAATTACATACTTCAAAAAATCTTCTGCTTCATAACATTTCTCATCTTACCAAAAAAAAGCTACTCTGTGTATGCAAAACACAGACCTCAGTAATTGACTTTATAAGATATACAGTTCAACAGCCAGTGGTTAAGTTTAGAATTGAGGCCCATAATGTACTATGAAATTAAAGGACTTACATTAACTAAGAAAAATATTTGGACTTGTGACAGTATTTAAATGTTTAATATTTAAAGATTTAATTTTCACAAAAAGAGGATTTATGTAGCTACATATGAAACATTTGTCTGAATTTTTATTAAAACATTTTGGCTAGGATTTAAAAGTATTCCTCTGCTGTGTTTACAACACAAATAACGCAGAAATGTTCTAGTGTATATAAATCAGAAAGTGATACTAATTAATCAGCTTCCACTTTGCTTTAATGTCAATTCTGAAGTAGACGTGTAAAAAAAATTAATGTGACACTAAACATTTAGTTCAAGATCCCGGATGCATGTGCTTAACTTTACGCATTACAGATAGCCTCAGGGAAGTCAATAGGCCCAATCACAGTCATAAGAACATAAGAATGGCCATACAGTGTTAGATCAAAGGTCCAGCTATTCCAGTGTCCTGCCTTCTGACAGTGTACATTACCTCAGAGGAAGTGAACAGAAATAGGTAATTTTCAATCTCTCCTATCATCCATTTCCTAAATGTGTTGTGCACTCCTTGCAGGGCAGGGGTAGGGCAGAGGAAACTTTGCGCACTCCTCCTGCCTCTAGGCCAATCAGGGCTTGGGGGAGAGAGAGCATGCTAACTCTCCTCCCGCCCTGCCAGGAGTGTGCAGTGCTTCAAAAGCACCACATGCTCCTGGCAGGGCGGAGGAAACTTCATGTGCTTCCTCTGCCCCCAGGGCCTAATTGGCCTGGGGGTGGGAGAGTAGCAGGGCCTCCGTGGGCCGAATCAACCCACTTGGTGGGCCAGATTTGGCCCGCGAAGGTCCTTTTGCCCACCCCTGGGCTAGGGACACCATTCCTACCCATTCTGGCTAATAATGGAGCTAATCTCCATGAATTTATCTAGTTCTTTTTCGAACCCTGTCAAAGTCCTGGACTTCATAACATCAAAATCATGAAGTCTTTTCAGGACCAAGGCCAATGATTTCATCTAAATTAATTTTAGTACAAATATGACACTTTACAAATCCATTTAGAGATTTTTTTAAAAAAATTTTGGTTTAAACAAAAAGAAGTTTTTTTTAATACTTGGTGGAAGAAGTACAGGATACATCAAAGAAATTCCATAGAACTGAAGTGATATTAAACAACTGAAGCCCATGACATATTTATATGGATTGCTGTAAACAATTATTGTGGCTTGAGACCAGGCACATTTCTTGGACTTGTTCAGAGCAAGGTTATGCAGAACATGCTTTCATTGTTTTAGTAAATTATGCAAAGGTAAATTTTGAACAGTTATCAAAAGCTGGCAAAAGCAACAATGTATTAGTCAGGTTACTATAATCTACAAATCTTCATTTTACTGTATAAATACAACAGTAATTAAATAAAAGCTCTTTCGTGACAGAGGGAATTCCCGATAGCCCCATTTGGATGGGCAAGGCTAAACAGACATAGGATAGGATTTTTTCTATGTAATTTGTGCAAATTGTTAGTTTACTTTCAGTTATTCACCACCAAACCACACTGACTGTAATGAGAAGCACTGGGATAATATATTCCAGTTTAATAAACAGTAAAAAATAATAATAATAGTGCTCCAAATTGAAAGCCAGTTACAAACACTAATTTTGGCTAAAATTAATTATTTAGAAAATAAATATTATTCTCATTTGCAAAATGAGAACACTAAAACAGGAATACTAAGCGATCTGCCTAAGACTATAAAGTGGGTCACTGGTAGAGCCAGGATTAGAAATTCACGAAAAGGGACTTACATCCCTAGATAGAAGCAAGTAGTTGAGTCTGCCCCCTGCTTCCCCTAGCTGCCTCTGATACACAGGGAGTATCTTAAAAGCCAGTTTCCCCTAGCACTGTCTCCATGGTGCTGATTCTCCCCCCCCACACACACACACTTCCTGCACTGCTGCCTCTATCAGAGGCAGCAGCATGGGGGCGGGGGTACGGAGGCTGCCACGAAGCAGCCTCTGTCTGTGGCAGGCCCACAAACACAGGCTGCTCCAGCAGCAGCCCCTGTCTGTAGGGGGGAGGGGGAGAGGTCCCTCTGCAGAGAAGGGCTGCTGGACCTGGCATGAGCCAGGACTGAGCAAGCCGAGCTCAGTTCTGGCTCACGCCGGGTCTGGGAACTACTCCCATTGCAACTCTGCAGTTTAAATGTAGTACAAGACAGGCTGCCTGTATGCTCGGCTCCTTCGACATTTAAACTACAGAGCTGCAGTGGGGTAGCTTCTGGATACAAACTGTATCGACTAGATGATAGCCAATTACCCGTCTCTTAACATCCCACTTCTATCATTGAGAGTACATTTGTAACAGTGAGGCAGATGAGCTCTGGAACACTTTACTCTGGGTTGTGGTGAATTTTTCCATCACTGACAATTTTTAAATCATGATCTTTAAAATTTTAGCAAAGATTGTTCAAATGATAGTTTTTCTAAAAGACATTATCTAAATATTATGTTTGGGAAGTTCCATGGCCACTGTTCTACAGGAGATCAGGCTAGTTGATCATAATGGTCCCTCCTAGCATTGGAATCTGTGCTTTTTCCTCCAGAACATACCACCTCATATTTCAAGAGTGTATGTGTCAGAAAAGCAAACAAAAAATATTGAGAGCCTAAACTACAGCCTACATGGGGTACCCATAAAGTTATAAGTTTATGGCAAGTAAAAATTCCATTTCAAGATAATTAATGGTCCTATTAATTTTTTTTCTTACCTAAACAGGGCTATTATTCCCAATTGCCACTTTGAAAACTTCTGGCATATTTACACTTAAAAGCTGCTCATTTATGGAAAAACTAAAATTTACTACATGCATCTCCATGTTGCATTTCCCCATGCATTTCATGCACTGTGTCCATAACAGCCTGCAGGTGACCTCCCATCCCATGCAGCCTGGCAGCCCATGAGAATAGAAAGTGTTCCTTATGTTATACAAACCTCCAACATTAAATTGCTATGTCTGACATAAATATTTCCCCCGTCTACTCTCAAGGAATTGTTCTGTGAAATTAAGCCACACACATACAAAAAAGCAAAATGAAAAAAAAAAAAAAAAGCATCAGCAATAACCAAAAAGGACCTTCAGATCGATAAATGTTTAAAAAATAAACAAGGAGATAAAATAATAAGAACAAAAGCCACTATTCAGACAAAACCTACAGAAGCTTCAAAACGCTACCAATAGCAGGCAACAACAACCAGATATAAATGAAAAAAAAGCATCCACCTTCTGCTGTGTTTCCTTCTCTCCAGTTTCCACCTACATGAAGGCACATGGTAAATCATCAAAAGAAAGGAGCTGTTAGTGTGATCTATGGCAGCAAGAGAGAGGCTTCTTTTGTTTGTAAAAGCTGTGAACCATGTGCTATGTTTATATACCTTTATTGTTTCGGCCAGAGACGCTGCTGAAATTAAGCCACTTTGGTCTTCCTCCACCTATAGTGTTGTAGAAATGGCTGAAGTAATATTTGGTAGATGTGAAATGAAAAATGGAAGTTTCTCTCTCTCCTCAACTTTCTGTTGCTGCATTTTCCATGCTTTCTTCGGGGATGGGTGGAAAATTAAGACACAGGACGAGGGGCCATATTCCTTGATGTCTAAATCAACCACTGAGAGACTTTATAAAGCACTTAAAGTGGAGTTTATACTATGAATTGATTTTAGAAAAATCATTAATGATTACTGTAAATGTCTGATACTGTGGTACATTTTGGATACTTGTAAGAGTTTTGCTTTTGTTAAATGCAAGATATGAGATAACTTTTAAAATATTACATCCTGTTTATAAGTATTCTGAATGAATCTTTAAGGAGAGAGATAAAATATCCTGAGGCACAAATATCAATTGACAGTTTTTCAAAGGATCACTGTGTAAGATCACAAGTATTGATAAGTGATTACATATATATTATTAATTCCAAATTTTGTGTGAGTACATCACATGATGTCATTTTCTTTCTTAGCTTATCACATTTTCCTTCACCTCTCACTTATCTGATGCTACTGCATTTTTTGCAATTTCACATCAAAAAGTGTCCTGAGCTATATAATGGATTCAGAAAATCTTAAGTAGTGTTTATTTACACCATTTTAGACTTATTTTAATAAGTGTATGTCTTTTACAGATGTCATTTATCTAAGAGAAAGTTCTTTGCTGTATAGAACAGTTACTCAGACAGTTATACAGGCAGTCCCCGACTTACGCGGATCCGACTTACGTCGGATCCGCACTTACGAACGGAGCTTTCTCGCCCCGGAAGTCGGGGCGAGAAAGCCCCGTTCGTAAGCTGCTCCGGTGCCCCTGGTCTGCTGGAGACCGTCTCCAGCAGACCAGGGGCACCGGGCGGGTTCCCGCGCTTCTGAGGCTTTGCCAGAGTAAAAAATGGTGCCTCTTTTTTCCTACACATTCGAACAGACCTTACGTCTTCCATTTGCTTTTATACTGT